AGCCTGCACAGAGGTGCCGACTTCCCCAGTTTCCAGTGGGGTGCTTGGCCCTTGCTCTGCCCCAGGCCCCTCCCCAAGTCCCCACCCCTCCCCCCGCCTCTTCCTTCCCCCACAGCTTCCCCTACCCCTCAGAACCTCCTACCCACCTCTGAACAACGGATCCGTGGCAGGAGGAAGGCGCTGGGAAGGAGGGGGAGGAGCTGATCGGCAGGGCCCGTCAGTGGGTGGGAGGTGCTGTGGGGAGAGGGGTAGGAGTTAATCGGCAGGACCTTCTGGTGGGTGCAGAGAGTTGATGCCTATGCTGGGTGAAAAGAACTCAGATGAGGTGTTTATGCATTTGGACAGGAAGGACATTAGAGTTAGTAGCTGACTAAGCGCTTGGGTTAACTCTGCAGTGAAGACAGACCTTAACACTCTCCTTCTGTCTCTCTCTCCCCTCTTGCAGTGCAGGCCACTCCGGATCCAGACCTGGCAAATCCCTGTTCCGTCCTGTCCACAGATGAGAGTGTGATCCGGAAATACCAACAAAGAGAATTTCTGGAGAAAAAGAACAGGTTTCACCCTGCTGCCTGTGTGCTGGGCTATAAGGGCTTCACCTCAGGGAGATGTTACTGGGAAGTGGAGGTGGGGAACAAAGATGAGTGGGTTTTGGGCATTGCCAAAGAGTCTGTGATACACGAGGGAGCGATAAGCTGTACACCAGAGGAGGGGATCTGGGCTTTGCAGAGTACAGGGAATGAGTACTGGGCCCTCACCTCCCCTAAGACTGCTCTGGGCCTACCTCGTAGCCCCAGTAACATTGGGGTTTACCTGGATTATGAAGGACAGAAAGTTACATTTTATGACATTACATCTTCTGGCAGAGAGCCAATCTTTACTTTCACATCTTCTTTCACCGGGAAGATCATCCCCTTCTTTGGGCGCCGGCGTGTCCAATTTCTGAATATAGGCACACATGGTCCCTGGTAGGCATACCATTAAGACCTGTGACAGAGCAGCAGGGATCACTCGGTATGGGATATCTAAAGTGGAGCAAAGACATAGATAATATATAAATTACAGCTATCACACTTTGCCATTCTAATCTTGCCAGCCTCAAGCATTCAAAAACTCTGTCAGGCCCCCCACAATCATGGGATTGGCTTAAACATCTTTTTATATATTATGTTATTTTTCTTTGCCTGCTGGTTTCCCAGCTTTCAGGGTGTTCTTGTTTCCAGTTTTCAATCTTTGCTACACAAACATGAAGGCTGGAAATGTATCTGTAATATAATCTGAGCTCCCTCAAATCTATCTACTCCAGCAGCTGGGACTTTTAAGAAAAACATTGAGTGCTGTGAGACTCACAATAAAATGGTGAGGGAGAACAAGACTGACTTGCTCAGCATTATACTGGTGAAAGGAGTTTCTCGACCCTCTTACATGCCTGTCTCTGTAACTCTGTGATCCTCTAGACACAGATGAACTGGCCAACCAGCAGACACCAGGAGCCACTCACAGGGTCACAGCAGAGCCTGCCTATCTTAGGGCAGGTCTACACTTAAAATATTGCACCGGCGCTGCTGTGCCACTGTAATGCTTAAGTAAAGATGCTCCTACGCCGACAGGAGAGCTTCTCCCATCAGTGTAGTTAATCCACCTCTGTGAGAGGCAGTAGCTATGTTAACGGGAGAAGCTCTAGTGCTTAATTACTCTCTCCGCTAGAAATGTACACCTTAATGCCAGGTCTCTGTCTAATGCAGCAGGCCCAGACCTCAATCACTGATCCCCACGGCCTTTTGAAATAAATCTACCAGCTCAACTAGTCACACAGGCCAGTAGCTCAGGCTTGGTGCCTGGCCCAGCTACACAACACTGAAACAAGGGTGCAGTTGATTCAGGCTTGGAGCATGGCCTAGACACCCAGCCCTGAGACTGGGTTGACAGCTGAGACCAGGCAGGTTCAGTGCATGGAACAAGCACAGCCCTGAGACTGGGGGCAGAGGAGGTAGCTGAGAAGAGGTGGGCTGCATGCATGTCCCAGGTACACAGCACTGCGAGCGGGCTGGGAGAGCTGACAGCCAGGCAACTTGGGGCATGGTAGACACTCAGCGCTGAGAATGTGCAGAGTTGGGGCATGACACGGACAGCGCACTGACTGGGGTGGGGGAGCTGCAAACAGTCATGCCTAGTGCATGGCAGAGACACGTGGTGCCGGGATGGGTGGGAGCAGGCACGCTCTGCACATGGTGCAGACACACAGCGCTGACAACAGAAAATGAAGTCGGACTGGGGTATCTGATGAGAATGGGCAGGCTCGGTGCATGACAGACTCTGTACCTCAGTTTCCCCATCTGTAAACTAGCTGGGCTCTTCCAGGGCAGGGCCAACCTCCTTTGACTCGCTTGGAGGTCAAGAAATAAGTTTGTCTTGTACAGGGCTCTGCCGGGGGTTCCACCTTCACAATTGCCCCCTGTTGGGAAGTGAGGGGAGGGTGCTGTTGGATACATCAGAAAGGAGGACACTGCAGGGTTGTGCTTGGCGAGATGAATTTTGGACAATCTTCATGTGGCCTTGATTCAGAGTAGCGAGGAAGGGAAATTACATCATGTTGCAACATTGTATCCCGCTGCAGAGCCGTCCTTGTAACCAGTCGCATCCCCAGGGGAGATCCAGTCACTGTTCTTTTCCCACCATGGTTACATTTCCTGTTCTGGGCCCAAGCGGCTGCTTCTCCCAGGCCCCCTCAGTCTGTCCCAAGATGCCCCCTCCTGCAGCTTGGATAGACAAGGGGGCTGGGAGACGCTATGTAACCCCTTACCTTGTACAATTCAGGGGTCCCCGTACCAGCTCCCCTCACACACACTGTCCTGGGCCATTGGTCCTCTGCCCTGACCTGGGATGAATCTCTCTTTAAAGGTCAGGGAGAAGCTCTGTCTGCACGATCCATTGAGTCCATAGCCTTTCTGCTGAGCCTCATGTGGAGAGGCACGATCAGTGCAGACTTTGCTGGTTACCTCGGTGTATGATGGAGACACCTACACCCCGAGAACCAGGCTGAGATCCCAGTGCATTTCACACAGTCCACTGAGCAGCTGCCCAATGGACTTTCAGCCACTGCCCCCCTGGACAGGATGTGGGTTGTTAAACTGAAACAGACCAGCCGGAGAGAAACATCTTTACTTGGTCCCAACCCCAAGGCTTTGACACTCACTTTGTTTCTCCCCAGAAGAAGGGGTTTGGGGATGGCTGAATCTCTCTCAGGTGCCTCCCTGAAGGGAATCCAGAGAGAACTGGGTCAGATGTAAGTTGAGCAGGGAAAGGAGGGGAGGTGGGCAGTGGGGCCAGGAAGATGAGCCCAGGAAACTCTTGTTTACAGATTGGCCTTAAGAAGTTTGTTTGGGCCTGCAAAGCTATGTCTTGCTGCCCTGTGCTGTCACCATAACACTGTTGCCAATGTAAGGGGACTGGTTGCCCCCTTACTAACACTCAGTGGGGGTGTTTTGGTTGGCTAGCTCCCAGCACTAAAAGGGGAGGGGTCGATGGGAAATCAGGAGCCTGAGACTGACAGTCCCCAGGGGCAATGGGGAGAGCCCAATGCTCCAGGTCAGCCTGACTGACAGGGTGGGCGGGCTAATCAGGAGGCCAGGGGGGTCCCATCCTCCGTGGGAGCTGGAATTGCCTGACTCAGGGTACGTCTATACCCAGCCGCTAGTTCGGCGGCAAGCAATCGAACTTCTGGGTTCGACTTACCGCGTCTTGTCTGGACGCGATAAGTCGAACCCGGAAGTGCTCGCCGTCGACTGCGGTACTCCAGCTAGACGAGAGGAGTACCGCGGAGTCGACGGGGGAGCCTGCCTGCCGCGTGTGGACCGAGGTAAGTTCGAACTAAGGTACTTCGAACTTCAGCTACGTTATTCACATAGCTGAAGTTGCGTACCTTAGTTCGAATTGGGGGGTTAGTGTAGACCAAGCCTCAGACAGAGTGGGGCTGAGCTAAGGAGAGAGCAGGGGCCCGAGCTAAGCTGCTGGAAGCAGAGCTGCAGCCCCAAAGCCAGAGCACGGCCCAGAGAGAGCAGAGCTGCCCTGGGAGCAGAGCTGCAGCAACCGGAGCCAGAGGGGCCAGACAAGCAGTCCAGGAGGCAGGTCAGAGCTGGGAGCAGAGTCACAGAAGCAGCCCAAAGAGCAGACCTGTCCTGGGAACAGAGCTGTAGCAGCCAGAGCAGCAGCCCAGGGAGCTGAAGGCAGAGCAGCAGCAGCAGTAGCCGTGCTGAGGCAGAGTGGGGCTGGAGCTGGGGCTGGAGCCGTCCGGAGCTGAGTGCGGTGAGCAGCTGGGGAGAGTGAGGGGAACCCTGGGCAGTGGGCCCAGCACAGGGAGACGCCTCAGCCAAGAGGCTCTGCAGGCCAGACTTGGAGGGGGATCATAACCCCGACCGGGCAGGGGCGACGCTGGGAAGAAGGGTCCTGCCACCTAGAGTCCGAGAGCGTGTGACCACCGCCAGAGCAAGTGTCCAACCCGCAGCGTCTCTGCAGCACAGCCAGGGCCTGAGAAGGAGCCTGGGACCTACAAGGAACAGACTGTGACCTGCCCTGATGTTCCAGAGACACTGTTTGTGATGTTCCCTGCCACAGACTGGAGTGTTTTCCTTTAACCTTTCCCATTTTTCCTTATTCTTTTTTTAAATTAATTGTTAATTGAACAACTTGTATTTGCTTTAAATTGTATGAAATGATCAGTGGGTCAGGGAGGTGCCCAGTGCAGAGAGAGTACCCCGGAGTGGGGATACCCTAGCCCTTGTCCTGGGTGACCACAGCAGGGTTGGGGGTCGAGCCCCCCAGGAATCCTGGTTCCAGCCTTGTCGGGGTTACGAGGACTCTGCCAGATAGGAGAGTGGAAGGGGAGGCCTCAAGGGCAGGGAGGCCTCTGGGTAGGGGAAGTGGGAGTGAGGACTCAGATCCTTTCGCTAGCCCACTTCACCGGGGTAGTGCAGAAGCCAGAACAATAGCGGGACCATTTCCCCGCTTACACCTAGTCTTTCTAAGGCTGCTCTGCAGATGGATGAACTAATGATTTTGCATCTGCCCATGCAGCACTCATTGGGGCCTCGCTGGTGTAACTCTTCTGTCTTTTCCCCTGGCTTTCTAATGAGTTTGTCTTTTAAAAACACCAGCATCTTAATGGGGATTTTCTAAGCTGTAACTGACACTAGAGATTGACAACATTAGCTCCAGCATTTAGTCATTTTGCCTGTGAATTCCACTCCACTCCTAGGGCATGCTGGGTTACATGTCTTACCATAGCCTGCAGGGGCTGTAACTTTAACAATGGACTGATTCCAGCTCAGCAAATGTGAGTCTCTTCCAGGATGTGGGGAAAGTCCAGTGTTTACTGCATAGGGAGTTTGTGTCCCCAGCAGAGGTTGCATGGGATCCAGGAACAGCTCACCCTGACCTTAACCTGTCTGCAGATCAGAAAAGTGTCAGACATGAGCACACACTACAGGACCTGCCCAACAATTCTGAGATTTAATTTTGCTGTGCGCACTGGGCTCTGAAGGATTCCTGGCAGGGAAACACCACTGGGAGGTGGAGGTGGGGAATGGGGAAAGGTGGACCATTGGTGTGGCCAGAACATCGGTGAAGAGAAAGGGATGGTTTTGTGTGAAACCTGAAGAGGCATTTGGGCTCTGAGGTTCTGCTGGAACCAATTCCAGGATCTCACCTCCCCACGGACCTCTGTGACTGTGAGCATAAGACTCACAAAGCTCAGGGTTTATCGGGGCGAGTGGCACTTTACAATGCTGATAACAAGATCCTGATCTTCATGTTCAATTAGTCTTTCACTGAGAAAATCTTCCCTTTCTTTTCTCTTCAGCCTCCGAGATCATACCTTAAAACTGTGCCCCTGAAACCAATAAATGGATTTCATTGGGTGTCATTTTTTCCCCTACTCTTTACACAAGCCTCCAGTTTACTGAACTGGAAAGAGAAAGGATTTGAGCAACATTAAAAGGAAGGCTCAGATTCACAAAGGGACTTAAGCAACTAAGGCCTGGTCTACACTACAGAGTTAGGTCGAAGTCAGGCAGCTTATGCTGATCTAATAATGTCAGCGTCCATACTACAGTGTTCCTCCCCCAGACATAACTCACCTGCTACGTCGACTGAATAACTCCCACCTCCAAGAGAGGTGCAGCACTTATGTCAACATAGTTAGGTCAACGCAGTGGCAGTGTAGACGCTGCATTTTCCACATCAGCTTAATTGTCCTCCAGGAGGTGTCCCACATTGCCCCATTGTGACCCACTCTGGTCACTGGTTTGAACTTCGCTGCCCAGCAGCCAGGTACAAAGGAACAAGCCCCTCCCGTTTTAAGGACTGGGAATTTTGAAATTCCATTTCCTGCTTGCTCTGCATGGAGAGCTCCCCTAGCACCTGCCCAGCTGAGCAGGCTGGCTACAGGCTCCCAGCGCTCTGCTGCCTGCACCGCACAGGAGGCGTTGGATCTCCTGGGTCTGTGGGGAGAAGAGGCTGTGCAGGCCCGGCTCCGATCCAGCCGTAGAAATGTGGACGTCTATGAGCAGATTGCTCGGAGCGTGGGGGAGAAGGGCTACAAGAGGGGCCCGCAGCTCTGCCACGTGAAAACCACGGAGCTGCGCCAGGCATACCAGGAGGGGATGGAGGCCAGCAGTTGCTCTGATGCGGCTGCACAGACATGCCGCTTTTACAAGGAGCTGCACGCTATCCTCTGCAGTGATGCCATGCCACCCCCGAGCCCCATGGATACCGGAGGAGTTGGAGTCATGGGCCACCGCAGGCAACGCTGAGAATGAGAGACAGACAAGCAGGGAATCGATTGCCAGATTCAGGGCTTAAATACAGCTGGAGCTGTTCAGAGCAGAGCTCTGGTAAATATTTTCAACCCCCCTGGAGTTTTTATAGTATATTGGAGGAGGGCCTGGGGGGCTCCGGGAAATGCTCTATAAGAATTTAAGCCCTGATCAGATTACATTCTGTGGCCCAATCTATAGTGGAACAAGACTAATAAAGAAATAACGCCACCTTCATTCTGGGTTTACATACACTCGCCCTGAGGCTTAATGCTGTAGAACACTTTTCCCAATCACAAAGGTACTTTATTTGTGTCCAGATTTAAAATAGAAATGTCACACTCCTAGCAAATGGTGACAGGAATGCCCCAGTCTGTCATAATGTGCTGCCCTTGGTCCAGAGCATAAGAAAAGGTAGAGGTAGCACTACTGGGATAGGGGAACCCCTATCATCACAATTTGTTACCCCTGGACCAGGAGATGGGAAAAGGTGACAGGTAGCAAATTGTGATGCTGCCTCTGGACTACAGGATGGGGAAAGGCAGAGGCAGCAAATTGTTTCATGGCAGTAAAAGAGAGACGAGAGACGTAAGTAACAACTACAGGTAACAAATTGTGCAGGCAGCAGTTTGTGGGGTTACACTGGCCAGGAGAGGGGCGGTGGGCATCCTTCATCACAGAAGGGATGGTGGACTTGAGGGGGGGTTGCCTAGGTGCAGTGTTGGGTTAATTCAGCCCTACAAATAACCAGAGGATCCTAGGTTCACCCTGGAAACGCATGGGAGATCCAGGTCTCCTGGGCTAGTCCCTACCCACTGGATCCGTCCTTTCACTCTACAGGGATACTCAGAAC